TAAAATTTTAAATAATAAATAGATTTTTTTCTTTTTATCTAATTTCCTTTATTAATTTTTATTTTTTATTTTAATTAAACAAACATGAACTAAAAAAAAATCAAACTAAAGTAAAAAAAAGTAAAATAAAAGAAGAAATGAGAAATGCATAAAAATTAGGGTAAGACATATACCTCATGGTCTATTATCTCGATTGATTAGAGCTTTATGTTGATAACATATTGTAAAAAAAAAAAAAAAGGAACAATAGTAGAATTGAAGAGAAAGATGATAGAAAAATGAATTTACTATAAAATAAAGTGAATATAACGAGATAAAAACTCCAAATAATTCTCTCAATCTCTACAAAATACTTATACATAAAATAATGAATAATCAAGCCAATTTATAGGCTTCAAAATTAGAAGGAGAATTGGAATGGATTATGAATAATTAAAAGTATATAAATTATTAAATTAATTACATCGCCTTTTTAATTTTTTATATTAAATGATGAATTGAATCATATTAAGAATTATGAGTAATGAAAATATAAAAAGCATATGAACATTCATATGGACATTCATTATTTTACAATAGGGCAAAATAAGAGGGAAATAATTAAAAAAATGAAAAATAATAAAAGAAAGAAAGAATAAAAGAGAAAAATGAAAATATATAGTTTGGAATATATAGAAGAGTAAGACAAAATCTTATCGAAAACTCAAAGAGTTGATCATTCACTTGAATGCATAGAATGAGTAGTGCTTGCTACTAAGAATATAGTAATAATAATCCAATTAGGTGTGATATCGAGCGTTGCTGCAAATACAATAAGAAACCCTAGCTTTTTCCATTTCTTTATGAATTCGGGACTCTTTTCAATAATAATTATGAAAAAGGAGTAGGTGAAGGTTTTGTTAACAACTACATTACCTTTTTCTTCTTCTCACTTCATTCGCATTGTTTTGCTTCGATGTTTCTATTTTTCAATTGCCTTTGATCGGGTTCAAGTTCAAAATCCTATCGTTGACATGGACGAGTAATCACTCCACTAATCGGAGAGAGGGGAAAAATGAAGAAAGCCTTCCTAAAACCCTTACTTTCTTGTATATTTTTCTCAAAATCAAGTACTCATAATCAATCATTCTTATTCGATAAAAATTCTATGATGCAATATATATTAATAATATTAGAAAATAATAACGAACATAGTAACAAAATTAAAGTTTTTCAAACAACATACTTTAGATCATTAAATTCTATATATTAAATTATTTAAGTTTTTCAAATGTATATTCTACGTATTATTAGAATTAAAGTAAATGATAAATTAGTTACATACTTATTGATGATCTAGATAATTTAAATCTTTTGGTAGAGTACTTATGTAGAAACAAAATCCAATGATTGAAACAAATAATTGAGCTTTTTGATAGATAAATATATCGCATGGTCTATTATCTTGATTGGTTAGAGCTTCGTGTTGATAATGTATAGTAAAAAATGGTAACAATAGCGAGAAAAGAAGAAAAAAATGATAGAAAAATGAATTCATTATAAAATGAAATGAATATAGGAGATAACAACTCCAAATAATTCTTTTAATCTCTAAAAAATACTTGTATATAAACTAATGAACAATGAAACCTATTTAATAGGCTTTAAAATTAGAAAGAGAATTATAAGAGATTATAAATAATTAAAAGTATATAAATTATTGAATCAATTGTATCACCCTTTCAATTTCGTATTGAATAATGAATTGAATCACGTTAATAATTGTGAGTAGCGAGGATATAAAAAGAATATGAACATTTATATGGATATTCATTATTTCAAAACGAGGAGAAATAAAAGGAAAATAATTAAAAAAAATGAAAAATAACAAAAGAAAGAAGGAGAAAAAAATATATTTTTTGGAATATAGAGAATAGTAAGACATAACCGTATTGAAAACTCGGAGAGTTGATCATTCACTCGAATGCAAAGAGTGAGTAATACTCGTTGTTAAGAATACAATAATAATAATCCGATTAGGCACGATATTGAATGTTGTTGTAAATACAATAAGAAACCTTTGCTTCTTTCATTTCTCTTTGAATTCTAGAACTCTCTTCAATAATAATTACAAATATGGAGTCGAAGGATGTTTTGTTAATAATCTCGTTATCTTCTCTTTTTTCTCATTTCATTCACGTTGTTTTTGCTTTAATGTTTCTATTCTTCAACTCGCCTTTGATCTGGTTCAAGTTCAAAATCCTATCATTGAAATGGACGATAATCACTCCACTAATCGAGAGAGGGAAAAGCAAAGAAAACCTCCATAAAAACCTTACTCGTCTTGAATATTTTCTCGAATCAAGTACTCATAATCAATAATTCTTATTTGAAATATCAAGTGCTATAAAATCAAGTTTATGAGGTTTGATATGACAAAGATTCTATGATGTAATATATAATAATAATAATAATAATAAATAACAAATATAATAATAAAATTAAAGTTTTTCAAACAACATACTTTAGATAATTAGATTCTATATATTAAATTATTCCATTTTTTCAAATGTATATTCTACGTATTATTAGATTTAAGGTAAAGGATAAATTAGATACATTCTTCTTAATGCTCTAGATAATTTAAATCTTTTGATAGAGTATTTGTATTGAAAAATCCTATGATTGAAAAAAAAATGACCGAGTTTTTTTGATAGATACACACCTCATGGTCTATTATCTTGATTAGTTAGAATGTCGTGCTAATAATGTGTTGTAAAAAAATGATAACAATAATAAAATTGAAGAGAAAGATAATTAAAAAAAAGAATTTACTATAAAATGAAATGAATACAAGAAATAACAACTCCAAATAATTCTCTAAATCTCTATAAAATACTTGAACACAAACTAATGAACAATCAAACCAATTTAATAGGCTTTAAAATTGAGAAGAGAATTAGAAGAGACTATAAATAATTAAAAGTACATAAATTATTGAATCAATTGCATCACTCTTTCAATTTCTCATATTGAATGATGAATTAAATCACATTAAGAATTATGTGTAGTAAGGATATAAAAAACATATGAATATTTATTATTTCATAATAGGAGAAATAAGAGGGAAAGAAATAAAAAGAAAAAAAGAAGAAAAATGATAAAAGAAAGAAAGAAAGAAAGAAAGAAAAAAAGAGAAAAATGAAAATATATAGTTTGGAATATATAGAAGAAAAGACAGAACCGTATCGAAAACTCGTAGAGTTGAGCATTCATTCGAATACAAAGAGTGAGCAAGATCTGTTGCTAAGAATATAGTAATAATATTATGATTAGGCGCGATATAGGGTGTTGTTGCAAATACAATAAGAAACCCTAGCTTCTTGCATTTCTCTTCAAATTCTAGGACTCACTTCAATAATAATTTTGGAAATGTAGTAGGAGGAGGTTTTGTTAACAATCATGTTACCTTCTTTTCTTCTTACTTCATTTGCGTTGTTTTGCTTTGATGTTTCTATTCTTCAACTCGTCTTTAATCGAGTTTAAGTTCAAAATCCTATCGTTGTACTTTAATTGCCTTCGATGTTTAACCGCCTTTAATCACTCCACTAATCAAAAAGAGGGGGAAAACGAAGAAAACCTCCCTAAAACCCTTACTTTCTTGTATATTTTCTCAAAATCAAGTATTTATAATTAATAATTCTTATTCAAAATATCAAGAACTACAAAATCAAGTTTATGAGGTCGATATGATAAAAATTCTATAACGTAATATCTAATAATAATATTAAAAAATAATAACAAACATAATAATAAAATTAAAGTTTTCAAACAACATACTTTAAATTGTTAGATTCTATATATTAAATTATTCAAGTTTTTCAAATGTATATTTATGTATTATTAGATTTAAAGTAAATGATAAATTAGATACATACTTATTGATGATCTAGATAATTTAAATCTTTTGGTAGAGTACTTATGTAGGAAAAATCCAAATGATTGAAAAAAAAGATTGAGTTTTTTGATAGATACATACCTCATGGTCTATTATTTTGATTGGTTAAAGTTTTGTGCTGATAATGTATTGTAAAAAAATGGTAACAATAACGTAATTGAAGAGAAAGATGATAGAAAAAAATGAATTCACTATAAAATAAAAAGAATACAAGATATAACAATTTCAAATAATTCTCTCAATCTCTACAAAATACTTGTACATAAACTAATAAACAATCAAACCTATTTAATAAGTTTCAAAATTGAAAAATGAATTGAAAGAAACTATAAATAATTAAAAGTACATAAATTGTCGAATCAATTGCATTACTTTTTCAATTTCTTAGAGCATCTCCAATGCTCTCTTTATATTAAGATTTTTCTTTATAATAAAGAGGTTTAACTCAAATTTCATCTCCAATGCTCTCTTTATCACAATTTTTATCTTTAAAATTAAGATAGAGAGTATCTTTGACTCTCCAATACTAGAGAGTCCAAATAACTCTTTATCTTATATTTTATTAATGAAAATTACTATTTCCTATGTCATTCAGCCTTTTCATCAATAGTCTTCTTAGGTTTTATAGATTTTGTCAAAATAAAGAGTTAAAGTAGAGAGTAGCATTAGAGAGAACATTGATCTTTAATCTATATAATTAATGATACTCTTTATTTATATTAAAAATACTAACTCAAAATAGAGAGCATTATTGGAGATGCTCTTATATTAAATGATAAATTAAACCACGTTAACTGTTGTAAGTAATAAGAATATAAAAAAAATGTGAATATTCGCATGACATTAGTTAGTTTATAACACAAGAAATAGGAGGGAAAGAATTAAAAAAAAATGAAAAATAATAAAAGAAAGAAAGGAAGAGAAAACGGAAATATATAGTTTGGAATACACAGAAGAGTAAGACAGAACCGTACCGAAAAGTCTGAGTTGATCATTCACTCGAATGCAAAGAGTGAGTCGTGCTGCTGCTAAGAATATAGTAATAATAATCCGATTAGGCGCGATGTCGGGCGTCGCTGCAAATACAATAAGAAACCCTAGCTTCTTCCATTTGTCTTCGAATTCTAGGACTCTCTTCAATAATAATTACGGAAATGGAGCAGGAGGAGGTTTTGTTAACAATCGCGTTACCTTCTCTTCTTCTCACTTCGCTCGCGCTGTTTCGCTTCGATGTTTCTATTCTTCAACTGCCTTTGATCGGGTTCAAGTTCAAAATCCTATCGTTGAAATGGACGGTAATCACTCCACTAATCAGAGAGAGGGGGAAAAAAACGAAGAAAACCTCCCTAAAACCCTTACTTTCTTGTATATTTTTCAATTATTGATTTTGATTTCTGAAATGGTTGGATTCAACTCTGACTGCATTTTATTTAGTTATTTTACTGGATTTTGTAGTTTATATTATTAAATTTATCTGATTCTGATGCATTCTTTCTCAATTTCATGTTGTTTCCTTCTTTTTTATTTATAGGTGATGAAATGGCAAGGATAATTTGGAAAATGATAAAAGACAAGGTCTGTTTGTGTGCTTATTTTCCTTTTTTTAATATTTTTTTACTCATTTTTGTTTCGGATTCAATTCAATTGGATTTAAGGCTGGCTTATTTCAGGAATTGAGTGATTAGTAATGGGGAGGTTTTTCTTTTTTCTTTTCTGGTGGTTGCAGCTTATATATCCTTATCTGGATTTGGATATTAAGTATTTTGATTTGGGGATATTGAATCGTGATGCTACTGATGATAAGGTCACTGTAGAAAGTGCTCTCGCGGCTCTCGAGTAAGTTATCTATCGACTTTCATTTTAATGGAATCATATCGCTTCATTTTCTTTGCTTAGCTTTTGCTACTAAGAACGTGCAATGGTTTACACTGTGAACTAAGTGCAAATTCACAAACCACAAACAGAAAATGTTCTTGCTCTGAATACAAGAACTAATTGAGTACTGATTGTATTATCTTGAGTTGTAAATAATTAAGCATTAGTGTTCATAGAACTATCTTGAACTGTATGCAGTACATTTTGACATGGTGTGCATTGTGTTCTGGAGATATAAGCAGAGGGCCTCCTAATTGCTGGAGCATGTCTGGTTATGTACCTTCTTTTCATTTTGTTATTTTCTTCTTTTGACTGAAAGGTTCATTCTGCCATATTGGATATAGAGAGAGTGGGTGATGGTTGTCACATATGATACTGCACTTCTCTTTGCATAGTAACTGCAATTGAATAGTAGTAAGAGCTTTCCCCTTGCTTTGGTATCATATTGACTTCTATATTGAGGGTTTGTCGTCGTCTTGGTTTAGTAATTGCTTCGAAATAGTGTATATTTTTTCCTACAAAAAGATGTATGGAAAATGCACAGAAGCTTGTAACTTAAGGCAAAGAAAGGGAAAAACAAGGAGGGCTTGGCGCGCGCGCACACACACACACACACATGCTTAATTATCTTGATTAGATTAATATTTAAAGCCTGGAAAATCATAACTCTGCTGAAACATGTTGGTATTCTTGTGGTTTGTGTATTGCAGGCACAATGCTGCTGTTAAATGTGCTACAATAACTCCTGGTTGGTCATTCTTGTCCCTTTCCTGCTTTTTTGGCTTCATTTATGACCACTAGGAATCATAGTTCCCAGAACATGCTTACTATTTTGATTTCACCAGTTGATATGTACACTGATAAAAGTCATTGTAGTACATGTCAATTGGGTCTACTTATGATAACTCTATTTATTCTGGTTTATTTAGCTTGCTTATGGTTTTCAGTTTTCCATTCTTTGCAGATGAGGCTAGAGTTAAAGAATTTGGCCTGAAGTCTATGTGGAGGAGTCCTAATGGCACCATTAGAAACATCTTAAATGGTCTGTTTTTGATACATGTGGTTCTCCCACACTTTTATGGAAAAATTTTATTCCTTCAATGCAAACAATTTGGTCTGGATTTATGTATTTTTGGATATGAAGGAAGACTTTGGTAAAAAAGCTAACCGCCATATGTTCTTCTGCTTGAGAATAATATGGATACAAATTCAAGTTTTCATCACTATTATAAACATTTAATAACAGTGAGTCATCATAGTCAATTGATAAAAAATGAAGCAAGGCTTCTAAGATTATTGTTTTACAATTAGTTTTATTTGGTAATTTTAGATTTTGTTACTTGTTTCAGGAATTTAATTTGAAAATCAACTCGATAGAAATATGCTACATCACCTATATCTTATATTGAAGTTACTTGCGACCTTGAGTCCTTTGTGGTATAATGTTCCACTTTAAATTATGTCTATTTAAATAATTTACAATAGTTATGAGATTTCTTATGGACCATGAATCTCTTATATAGCTGTTCTCCCTTCTTTTGGGCAATTATACTGCAATTGATTTGTTTTCTTTTGACAATAATAAAAAAAACTACCTTCTTAAAGCTTATTAAATTATCATAACCTACAAATGATGTTTCTCCTTTTTCTTTCATTTTTTTTTCTTCATAAACGCCCTAGGATGTAGAAGATGTGAAGGAAACATGTTGAAACAATTACTGAAAGTCTGGAAATTTTCCTGATTTTTTTTTTCAATCTCTAGCTGGCTTTATTAGTACTTTGGCTGGTGTTCTGTAATTCAATTTGAGTATGACAAGTATGATGAAATGAGGTGAAGAATATTGAAGCTGTGAACTGGCCTTTTGTGCATGACATTTCTTGCATCTCATTATATGTGTTGTATAGATGTGGTTTGTGAAGTACATATTGTTTGCATTTCCTGTCTCCGGGTTATCTTGATACACTGTTGGAACACTGAAGTTATACTCTTTAGCTGCTGGCAGAACATATTTATTTTGGACTCCTTTTGTTTTTATTAATATGTTTTCTGATGAAAGGTTTTCTGTTGTAGGCACTGTTTTCCGCGAGCCTATCCTTTGCCGAAACATTCCAAGAATTGTCCCTGGTAATGTTTTTTCTGATCTAAGCTCTCATACCATTAAATATTGTGATTCAGTGCTTATAGATTTGATTTACAGGTTGGAAGAAACCCATATGCGTTGGCAGGCATGCCTTTGGTGATCAATATCGCGCCACAGATACAATCATTAAAGGGCCAGGAAAGCTTAAAATGGTTTTCGGTGTGCTGATTTCAGTTTCAACATTGCTGTATATACAATTAACTAATTTGAGAATTTTTATTCTTCAGAGCTACTGTTAGTGCTTACCAAATTTCTCTTTCTATTACTCAGTCCCAGAAGATGGTGAAGCCCCAGTGGATCTTGATGTTTATAATTTCAAAGGCCCGGGCATAGCACTTGCTATGTATAATGTTGATGAGGTTCCTCTTCCATGTGTTTATTCTCAAATATGTTGATTGCACTATGTCAATTATTTGCCTAATCTTTATGTGATTGACCAGTCTATTCGAAACTTTGCGGAGTCATCAATGTCATTCGCATTTGCAAAGAAGTGGCCTCTTTATTTGAGCACCAAAAACACAATTCTGAAGAAATATGATGGCAGGTATTTACTTCTCCTTGTAATGAACTTCCCAATCATTTTCATTTGGTGATGCGACAAATGTCTCTGAACCTTGTCCTTTATCGATTCATCAATTAATTTTCCAATTTTCAATGAAACAAATCCACAAAAATGTTCACTGATATAGTATTTCACAGGTTTAAGGACATATTCCAGGAGGTATATGAAGAAAAGTGGAAGCATAAGTTTGAAGAACATTCAATATGGTATGCTTCTATTAATTATGTGCTATGAGACTGTATTTCTGGCAACACTGCTATTAAAAATGGTTGATTTAAAGACTTTTTGTTGTTCAGGTATGAGCATCGGCTAATTGATGATATGGTGGCTTATGCATTAAAAAGTGAGGGTGGATATGTCTGGGCTTGCAAAAATTATGATGGAGATGTCCAAAGTGATTTGCTTGCTCAAGGTGCTGTAACTTGTTCTAACCTCTAGTCACAGACACATCGATATATTTCCTGTTCCTTTATTTGAACCCAGAGGACACTTATATTTGGCTATTCTTTCCACCAGCCTCTTTGCTAATGGAGTTTTTTCGAGGGTGGGACTTCGTTTTTGTCAGGATTTGTTTTAATTGATTGCTGCTGGTTGCGAAATTATGTTTTAAACATTGTTATTTTGTTGTAGATTAAACCAGTTTTGCTTTGTGCAGAAAATTTGCATCTAAAATATATTTAGTTTCATTATTCATTATAGACAGTTTCTTGGGCTGAAGCGCCAGGGTTGATAGCAAAGGACCAACTCTGTTTATCTGTTAGCAGTCCTCGTTTATTAAACATAATAGTTCCATAGTTCTTGAATAGAGATACCAAGTGACTTAGTGAACATATAAATGACAATTCTGTTGGTGTGAAATGATCTGAAGTATGCATCCTCAGTATGCAATTTTCTTAGTGAACCAGTCTAAACTTGGTTTCTTTTGGGCAGGATTTGGCTCACTGGGCCTCATGACCTCTGTGTTGGTATGTATCCAATTAATGGTTTCAACCTCAATGCTGACTTTTTCTTGAGTTAGTTGTTGACACAATCTTATAACTGCAAAATGAACAGTTATCATCTGATGGAAAGACTCTGGAAGCTGAGGCAGCTCACGGGACTGTAACTCGGCATTTCCGGTTGCATCAAAAAGGACAGGAAACCAGCACAAATAGTATTGCTTCAATATTTGCATGGACCCGAGGGTTAGAGCATAGGTATTGTTTGCTTAATGTATTTAACCAATGAAACAAATAAATTATCTTTCAGTTTTGATTACGACTTGTATATTATTCCGATTGCTGATGCCTCTTCATAACCTTGATCCAAGTTTAGAATTTGTTTGTTCTGTCTTCAGCTGTATGTTTCTTTATATATTCAGGTTAAACGATGATATACTCGTCATAACCTTCAATAAAGTAGCTTCATTTCTTGAAAAATTTTATAGTATGTTTCAAACATTTTAAACGTTACCATTAGGCAAATGAATGAGTTCTTATGCTTTATTTTTATTTTTTATTTTTTATTCCTGTCCTCTCTCTCTCAGGGCCAAGCTGGACAACAATGAGAGGTTGCATGATTTTGTTCACAAGTTGGAGGCATCATGCATTGGGACTGTCGAGGCAGGAAAAATGACCAAGGATCTTGCCATTTTGACCCATGGCCCTAGGTAAGTGGCACTTTGTTTCTACTTATTTTATTTCATGTTCTTGACCACACAATTTATTGATCGGATCATTTTTCTTCATCACTGTAAGTCCAATTTTTGGAACATCCTGTAAAGATTCAATAGAATCATGTCACAGTCATGTACCAAATAACAAGAAGTGAAGTACTGATACATATTTTGGACAAGGAATGTTTCTGATGTTGCCAGTGAAGGATTTGGCTCAGGTTCATTCAAACCTTCAAAAACAAAATGAATGGTTGTAGGGGCATACTCTTTTTATCTTGCTGGAGCATTCTAAAACTTCTATGCCTGTTTGGGGCGCAAGTCAAGAAGAAAGAGATTTTAAGAGTATCAAGATAATCAGGATACCGAGTTTGTATAAAGCAGAATCCGGTGGTGAAGAATTAAAGTAGGTATTTGCTTTTGTCAACTTGGAGTGACATAGGCTATATGTGACTGAAGCAAAGTATAGTTATATGGAGATTTAATCGTAATGCCGTCATTGCTGGATTGGCTTAATACATATCTATAGGAACAGATGCAAATGGGGCAATGCTTGGTGAAATAAGTGGAAGCATGGGACTACGAACATAAAGAATAGAGGTTTGAGTCTTGATGAGAAGGTACTTCATGCAAGGTAGCATGGCTATATTTTGAGTTTTGAAGCTAGTTGATAATTTAAGTTATTCCAATCCATATAACTAACTGCCCTTTAATCCAAGAAATGGCACATGAGGTTCTCTTTCCAATCCCAAACTTTTAGGGGGTTGATTATTTTATGTAAAAATACACTGTTTGGTCCCATTACTGGTGGAGTGGTGGTAATTAAATCAGTCAGAGCAAGTGGCCTCAAGTTTTTCTAACGTTATATTGAGCTTGTTCCCCCATTTAATGGTTAGTATGATGATTAGTTCGTACCTTGTTTAGCAAGTTATATTCATAGTTACTGAGATACTGTTGATGCATGCAGGGTATCAAGGGAATTTTATCTTAACACTGAAGAATTTATCGATGCTGTTGCACAAGATCTAGAAACAAAGCTTCGGGAGCCTGCTGCTGTCTAAGCTGAGAGTTTTATTGTGTAAGTGGTAATAGGAAATTTGTGATGATGGGATAAAATTTGCAGATACCATATACTCTTTTAATTGTTTTGATCGTCATATTTAGAAATTTTGAAATGGATACAATTTTCACAGCATATAAAGGGTTAATTTCAATTTACCCCTTGATGTTTAGGGCGAATTCAGTTTTTTTCTCTCAGGGTTTGAATTTTATCCTAAAATTTCAATCGCAAATAAACTAACTGAAATTTTTTTCAGTCCCTAAACTTTTTAAATTTGATCACATAGATTTCTTTTAAAGAGATTAAATCTTCTACTTTTAATAACTGAAAGTGTTAGATTTTTTTATTTGAGCATCTAATTTACAGTTTCTTTCTAATTCATTGCATCTGTCAGCATCTTGTTGTATGTTGAACCGAAAAAGTAGAGTAGTCCCTATACACAGACATGCCATATAAATGTGAAAAAGCAATGCATTTATGTCAAAAGAAAATGAAATAAAATAAAATTGTTTCAACGCATGAATTCTATAGCTAATAAACTCAGTCATTGCCGTCATACCATCAAATACAGCACGCTTAGTCATACTCCAAGTAACACCAACCTTAGCCATTCTTCATGCAACACCAACCTCACAGCAGCTTGGATCTCCCTCGAGGTGATAGGGGGCTTCTTGTAACTCACAGGCTTGAAGGCTACTTATTAATGATGGAACTCATTTACGCATAATCTTACTGATGCAGATCTTGTGGAGATGGGCTGTGATTTGGGATGAAGATTGTAATTTTATAATGTGTTTTATTGATTTGCTTTTTACAGCGGTGATTGTGACTTTCCTTTTCCCTTTCTTTCCAAATCTAATTGTGATGACAATTTTGATTTCCCTCTTCAATTGGTGGTTCTTTGGTGGCTGGATGATGCAGATACAAGGATTTCTGTGTAAGTGTTAAAGGGGTTTCTGGAGTTGAAATCTCTAAGATGGAGGACTAAAGTTGACTAGTTTGATATGGAAGGACTGTAGTAAAGAAGCTAACAATTCAGCTATTGCGAGGGAGTTTAAATGGTGCTTATATTTGACGCACCTGATTGAGAAGATTACAGGGTTAATGGTTGGAGGGGTTCATTTACTATCCTGTTTGTGTTTTAATCGTATTTTTTTTAATTAAATTTTTATTAAAGTAATCTCTCAATTTTTACTGTGTCTTAATTTTGTTTTTTGTTTTTGTTTTTTTGTTTTTTTGTTTTTTTTTTCAAAATTTTGGATAACAGCACACAAGATGTTTACGAGTGACATTTTTTTTTATATTTGATTTTCCAAAATTAAATAAATAAATTTCTAAAATAAAAAAAATGAAAAACCCAAAATGCCCCCTACGTACCCCGAAATCCCCCATTCATTCTCCCCTAATTTTCTTTTCTCCTTGTCCCTTCAATTATAGCTGGTGGAGGCGAATTCAAAGCAAATAATTATTCCCAACAGCGATAATTGATTTTGCGAATAATTATTTGTGGCTAGATTTCCAGCTGGAATGTCCCTTCCAAACGTTAGGCATATTCAAGGCACCAGCTTCTTCCCTGCAGTAAGAAATAGCTAGATTCGCAAATAGAGTAGCTCCTTGGTGATCTCACTTTTAAAATCGAGTGCACCCTATTCTTCCTAAGAAAAAGATTTTTGAAAAAAGAAGAAAGAGATTGATTTGATTGACCCAATCTGGACCAAAAGATGGTCGATCTATTTTGTCCTTCTAGATTACAGAGAACATGAACAACCAACCAATGTAATCAATATAGAGGAGCCAGTCAAGGAAGGGCAAAAGTTCGTGCCTTTCGCTGGTCTTTCTAGACTTTTGGATGAGAAACATGATACAGAGTTAGCTCTACCTGATTCAGGTTCTGTTAAAGAAGAGAACCAAACAATTAAATCAGCTCTAAGCTTGGCTACTGAATCAGAGATCAAGTCTCGTAAACGTCCAGCAGAGGTGGTGTTTGGTTCTGTTGCACCTGGAAAGAAATCGAAAGAGTTCAAAATAGAGGATGTTAAAGCTGAAACTTCGAAGAAAGAACAATTCCAACCATTCACAGGGAATGTATACTCTTTGGACGGCTGACTTTGCATTTGCTACTAAATGGTTCTGTTTGAAAGAAAACTTGGGGAGAACGAATAGTGGATTTTGGGGTTTTTATACGTGGTATTGTGGGTTTTTTTATTTTTTTATTTCAGAAATTTATTACTTAATTTGAAAAATCAAAATGAAAAAAAAAATTCTCATTTGTCAGCATCTTAAGCGCCATTGTCTGAAAATTTGTACAGAGGAACAAAACTAAAATGTAAAATAAACATTTTAAGATGATATTAATGAAGAACTTAATAAGATGCAAAATAAATATTGAGGAATGATATTAATAAAAAAAATTAATAAAATGATACAATTAAGACAAATAAATTTTTTTTGAACTATTAATCCAAAGATTAAATGAAAAGGCATGACTTGCACATGCGGAAGGTAGTTATATTGGTTATGCTGACTTGGCAAAGTTCGTTAGAATTAGTTGTTTGTAAGAGAAACAATCACTTTGATTCTCATTTTGGATCAATTGTCATTCTTTCTTGTTTTTATTTCCTGTAGTCTCTTTCTGAACTTCAATTCTTGTAATTGAGTTTTCTTAATGAATTCTATTGATTTTACAAACTATTTTCATCTTAATTCTTGATTTGAATTCTTCTACTGAAATTCTGAATTGCATCAATGGATTGCATATGTCATCATGAGTTCAAGTTTGCATCAATGCGCAGTTGTCAAATGTAGTTTAAGACTTGATTCAGCCAAAAGCTTAACTCATCGGATTGTTAGTCAACTTTCTAGATCATATGGTTAATTATTATAATATAATATTTTGAAACTATATAAATAATATTAAAACTAAATCGTAATTTTTTTTTTTAATAAAAAGAGGATCAGATTCAAATCTTATGCTAAGTAATTTAGTTTTTCTTATTTTATTAAAAAATTAATTTTTATCATCTAAACTTTTGTGAACATATTTTAAATCCTAATATCACTCGTTTTCTTTCGTTGACTGCACAAATCATTTTTCAAAAAAATAAAAATAAAAATAAGACATTACCATCTTTGTCTTCGTAATATGGACCATGTTCAATTAATTAGCGTCACGATTACGACTATTGCGGTGGGAACGCTACACCACAATCATGACCCACAACACGAAGTCAAAGGACCAAAAAGATGTACAAATGTGCGGTCCAGATCGTTTCTCAGTCATTTTCCGTCTCGCTCCGATCGCTACTTTTTTGCATGTTTTAGATTTCTCAACTTATCTATATATAGACGGTGAGGTACGGACAGAATTCCGAATCTTGCTTGGAATTTAGGGTTAAGAAAAGAAATTGAATGGCAGTGAACAAGGCGAAGGAGGTCGTATCCACCAATTCCGTGGTGGTTTCCGACAAGGCGAAGGAGCTCGTATCCACCAATTCCGTGGTGGTTTTCAGGTTTTCTTTGAATTTGATCATCTTGATCTATGTACGTATGTTTATTTAGATTAATTTTGTGCAATTACGAATATCCATATCTTAAAAATTTTTGCAGCAAGACATACTGTCCCTTCTGCGTATCAGTGAAGCAGCTTTTGGACCAATTAGGAGCAAAATACAAGGCTGTAGAGTTGGATACCGAGAGTGAGTTTTTCATTTTTTGTGCTCTACCCTGTTCTTTTAAATACTCATGTTCTTGACAAATCATTAGTTAATTACATGACTAGTATTTTTCACCAAATTATTTTGATTTGCCTTGAGCAACCAATATGTAACACAATTGTTTTACGATGTGATCCAATAATAAAGGAATTTTATGAGCACAGAACTATTGCATCCTATCACCTATGCCATGTGTGATTTTATGCATCTCACAGTCTGGTTTGTCTTACTTTGAAAGGGTGAATATGTGTTGTTAATTACGGATTAATTGATTGTAATTATAGTACAAATTGTTGTGTTTTGAAGAGGATGGAGCTGACATGCAATCAGCTTTGTTTGAGTGGACTGGACAACGTACCGTGCCAAATGTTTTCATCGGTGGCAACCACATTGGCGGCTGTGACTGTATGGCCTTCAATACCACCTTCCTATACTTTTCTTTCTCTGTTCCGTTCTTATTGTTTACCCTATTGTTCATGGGGGCTCCTTTCACTGTTTTACAGCAACCAAAGCCCTGCACAACGAGGGAAAGCTGGTTCCTCTTCTAACTGATGCTGGAGCTGTTGCCCAAGCTTCTGCTTAATGGAGTTTCAGTTATATAGTTTATATGTCTTGTAATAAATAACCGTTGTGTTTGGTTTGGTTTAAGTTGCTTGTCTTGTCTCGTCTTCCGAGTCTCAAGCAAGTGTCCTAGCGTTCTATAATTTCTGGTGGTTTTTCTTACTTGGCATTTCTGTTTGCTATGGAATCTTAAGTCGTACGTATTGTTTATGAAATATCAGCTGTCTTTTGTTGTGATGCTATTACCGTTTCCTTACCCTTTGACTATTGGAAACTACAACCCATGTAAAAGTTAAGGTTTCTTTTTAGCCATAATCTTGAACCTCTCTCTACTCTGAAGATGATGTATGTAACTTCAATTAATTGATGATACGCAATGACTTGCTGCGGTCACAGTTTTCCGATTTGGTTTTTGGTGCCCTGGAGAAAGAACAAAGTGATCAGCGATGAGCATCGCTGTCTCTAGGAGTTCGGTTACTATGTTGGTTGTACCACCATCATGGTGGCTGAATTGTGGGCTACCAAAATAGGATCAAATTAGCCTAGCTAGGATAGAGGTTGAGGCTGTTAGAGGTGGAGTCAAACTCTATGGAAGCTGTTCCTGCTTGATACTGCAGAAGCCATCCTTTGTTTACTGATATTGTGACTGCAATTCATACTGATTTAGCACTTTTAAGTATTATTATTAACTTAAAGAAAGTAATCAATGTGCAGACTTCATGGCTAATCAGGTTGATCTTCAAGATTGAAGTAATCCTCCTAAGGTATCAGATTTTTGTTGCAAGCAAATGCTATGAACAAGTCCGACCCGAATCAAAACTGAAAATTATTATAGATTCGGTTTTGTTTTTTGTAAAATAAATTTGAATAGAAAACCGGACTGAAAAAGATATTTTGTTTTTCAATTTAAATCGAAGAATGTTCATGCTTAACCATAGGTCTAGCCCATGAGCGGATTTAGGATAATCCATTAAAAAATTAATTAGAAAAAGGATTAATTAGGAAAATGATTGAAATTAAATTAAAAAAGGACTATGGTGAAACTATAAAGGAAAAGTTGCTTTCTTGTTTTGTTTTTCTTATTTAGCTAAGACATGCGTATAAAAAAAGAATTTATTTTCTTTTAAATATAAAATGAAGATTTTTTCTATTCTTTTGATGAATTTTATATGAAGAATGCAATGATTTTTTTATACATAAAATATTATGGTTTATTGTCCCGATCATTTTACATCATGCTGAATCTAAAGTACAAATTTTCGTATTTCGCTCATTGGACTCACTCAAAAGGAGCTATACGCCAAATTATGCCGAAGCCCGACTTGCTACCAAAACTCACACCAGCAGACCATCTAATGTCTGCCCAGTCTCAAAATAACGATTATTCCCGAACAAGACCTTGTTACGACCACCAACTTATGGCGAAAACTCCAGCACTCAATGACTCAAAAGAAGCCAATTAATTTACCCTAATGGCATAAGAATTCTATAAAAGCAGCATGAATGATCGTATAGTCATCGAAGAAAAGCTGCTCGGAAACAACATATCACGATGGACGCTAAAGAAGGCACGTAAGCACCCTTTAAAAATGCTTCACTAGGGAAAGGAAACATTCTCTAGCTAGTAGTGCAAACCAAACTGGGCGGCTCCACAAATGATCTCATTCATTCAAAAACAAGTTGTTTAAACATACAAGTATTGTCCGTGGACACTTATTACACTAGCTACTAGTCCTCACCTGGTCAAACAAGCTGACTCACACGAGCCCATGCCGAGTGACAAAAGACTTGACTACCGGAGATACTGAGAACCCCATTCCTTTAGAAACTGATTATTTCGAGAATCTTGTTTCGTTAAGAACATATGTCCATATTCTTTTAAGAACCTATGACCACGTTCCTCCCAAAATTCGTTTCTTTAGAAACCATGGTCCTCTAAGAATCCAAATCCTCTAGGAACCTGTGGACATGTTCCTCTAAGAACTTATAGCCACGTTTCTCAAGAAATAAAAACTCTATTTTTTTGGGAATCTTCTTCCTCGAGGAACCTACGATTATATTTTTATGAGAACTCATGACGTGAACCCACGCAGTCGAAACTAGAGAACTCTCGAATAAAATGATTTAGAACCTCAAGAAAGCTAAATCAAAACAAACCGAAGCTGCACTAAGGAATTTCAGAAGAATATTAGACGTCACCATCCAAAAAAAAAAGGATTGGGAGTGATAAGCCTATGTGAATGCCACAAGAACATGAAATTCTTGATAAGTTCGGAAAATTCTTGGAAGAATTGAGGGAGAAAATTCTCATTGACATTTCACGAAGTATATTGATTGGATCTCTTGGAAAATACAATAGAAATGCCTTTTATTCATGCCTGAAACCAAAACAATCACTAGAATTAAGTGTTCAACATATAATTCAACAAAATAATTAAACTAGAATTAAATCCTTTCTCCTCAATTTTGTCAATCTAACATAAAAGACTACAATCATAAATTTGGATCAAAAGTTTCATCAACCATTCATAAAGTCTTGAATTACTTCGATCAAACCCATTCAATCGACCTCGACCCAAAACTCATTTGACCCATACGTGGATGATGTTCATCGAGCCTATTTTTTTGTTGGTCGGCCCATTACGAGTTTGAGCAACCTATATTTCTTCAATAAGCCCATTCATAGCTTGTTTAAACTTCTTAGCCCCGACCTTTGTAATTGGGTCTCCTAGAATGTTCAATGGGTCAGCAGCTCTTTTATTGTTTAGCCCATATTTAGCGAGCACCTCCTTTGTTCAGCCTACGGTTTGGATTATTAGCTCTATGGTTCTCATCAACTCATGACCATGTTCCTTCAAGCACCCATTTCTCTAGAAACTCATTCCTTTAGGAATCCTATATCTCAAGGAACTCGCGACCATCTTCCTCCGAGAAGCAAAAATTATCTTCCCTAGATATAAAGGCAATGCTCATTCACAAGTGTGTGGTTTCACTTTGTCAAATATAAAAGCACACATTGTCCAAGTATAAAGTTACCACACCACTTGACACCGAGGATTATCATGCTCAACAAAACTTTAGAGTCATTGTGCTACACGTCAAACATCATATGTTAGTGTAGACCTTGGTGGGATAGACTTGTACACGGGTGGAACTTACCCTCGGTTTTGTCCCGGGTAAAGTCTTGGACTCCTGTTTCCATCCTATGCCATTCCTAATAGCAATTTGGACTCCTCTAATTACATCCCATTCAATAACAAGGAGCCTTTTAGGCTTCTCCGATTTTATCCTAGGTAGCAACTTGGACTCTCCTAATGCCATCCCGAGTAGCATCCTAGGCTCCTTTGATCTCATATCGGATATATCACCTTAGACTCTTATGATCTCATCTAAGGTAGCATTTTGAACGTTATCTCATCAAGGTTAGCATCCGTAATGGTACCTCGGGTAGCATCTATGGGTAGCACCTTAGCTAGCCACCCAAGTAAGAACTTTAGGCATCCGAGTTCCCATATTATCGATTCACATACCAAGAATTGCATGCCACTCTCGGAAGAAGATGACCATATTGGTCGCGTCTAATCTGTCATACCTCTAAAGCGTTAATCGTCTAAACAACTTGTTGAACAAGATAGATAGTTTAAATCTAATGAGTCATATTTTAAAAGTTTTGAATTGTTCAAATCATATCATATAAGAAAATTATCATGTCTCGGATCGAGAGAATCTCACCTTGAGATAAGACAATTGATGAGACATGAAATTCACGTTTTCTTACAAAATCAATCAAGTTGAGTTTTCTCATCAATGCAGATTCTCTTTTTTATAGTCACTTGTCCTAACACATTAAATGTATGAATTATACTCTTATATGTTTTTACTATATAACAAGGCCCTCAGTCTCATTAAATACAATTCAAATAATATTTACATAATTTTGAAGAATCAGCTCTCCCTCTCTCATATTTATACAGTATATTAAAATGCTAATTTGACCATTAGAGTGATTCCTTATCACACCTTGAGCACCGTTAATATCAATGGTTGTGCTTTATGTACTTAAAATTTGAAAGGACGTCATCATCTTTTTTCCAACCCTTCAAGAAAACTAAATTCCACACAGGATCAATCTACATGTCAAAATCTTGTGACCACATCCATTCATCTTCCGGACTGGGGCTGCCTGCTGTTTTTATTTACTTACAAGTCTACGATGAAAATTGAAATTTGACCACCATCCTCGCACGTTTCTTTGCTGAAATGGATAATTATGATTGGTGTCATGTCAAACTCAAACTTTTGGGAAAATATCTTTCTTCCTTATGAGGGGTGGGGTTGTGGCGTCCCACTTTAAAGAAAGAAATATCTAGGCAAAAAAGGAAGGATTCTTCAATGTCTTCTTATCCATCGCTTCAGAATTTGGCCAATATTATTATAATATCATATCAATCAAAAAACGAGAAAAGAAGCAGTGGAAGAAATGTCAGTTTCTCTACTCCCAATCGATCAACTTTCAGTGAATAAAGCTTTCCAAATTCACGCCAGCTACTTCAATCCTGAAAAGGCGATTTCAAGGTAATTCTTTCTTCTGCAAAGTGTTGTTGGTGATGATGGTAATTGTTATTGTATTAGAAAAAATAAATTAAGCATATGTTACGAAATGAAACTGAAACTTTGTTTCTTAGCAAAAAACATGCTTATATACACACAAACGCATTCTATCTAAAGTCCTCTTTGTGTGTGTGTGTGTTTGTTTTTTAAAGAATGTTTTCTAGTTTGAATGAAAGTGGAACTTGGCTACTGATTTAGTAAATGTAATTAAGTTTGATTTCAAGATGTAGGCACAAATTCCCTACAGTCAGATGTTGTGATAGAAGAAGGGAAGGGAGTACTACTGCAAGAACAAAGAAGAATTACTATGAGTTGCTGGGAGTTTCAGTTGATTCCAATACCCAGGAAATTAAAGAGGCCTATAGGAAGTTGCAAAAGAAATATCATCCTGATATCGCTGGACAAAAGGTGCTTTCGGTATTGAGCCACTACTAATTTCTAAAATACTAGCTCTAGTATTATCAAAATGCTTCCTAACGAACCCCTTTTTGAATCTCTCTTTAGGGCCATGAGTACACCATAATGCTGAATGAAGCCTATGATGTCCTGACGATAGAGGATCTTAAGACGAAGTACGATGCTTCCATTGGCCATATGACAATGCAGTTTGGGAATAACAACCATGTCGTGACCGGTTCCAGCTCATGGAAAGGGCCATTGAGACCCCAAGCTCTGTTTGTTGATGAAAATGCTTGCATAGGTCAATCTCACAGCCCACATACAATTACAAATGCATGAACACAACTGCCTAGCAATCTTCCCTTTATTTTTTTTTTTTTTTAGTGTGTGGTTCTGTCAGCTTCTAAATCAAAACAGTATACTGTACAGGGTGCAGAGAATGTGTTCACCATGCTAGCAACACATTCATGATGGATGAATCAATTGGATGCGCACGAGTAAAAGTTCAATATGGAGATGACCCCCAAAAGATTGAGGTAACTAAAGCAAGATCTTGTGAGGGTCTCAATTTTATTAGTTGTGTTTTTTGTTATAGCTATTTTGTCAGTGCTTTGCGTGTAAATGAGCTAGGGATATGATGAGGAAATTAACTTACAGGTATCTGTTGAATCATGCCCTGTGAACTGCATCCACTGGGTGGATAGGGAAGAACTGGCACTGCTTGAGTTTCTGATTCAACCAAAACCAAAGCAAGGTTATGGAGTGTTTGGGCAAGGCTGGGAGAGACCTGCTAATGTTTTCATGGCTGCAAAGTCATTCAGCAAGCAGTTGAGACAGCAAGCTGAACATCATCACAGCAAAGGTAAGTGCATGCTTATATGATTGAAAGGAACAATTGTGATCATAATGATGATTTCACCCGTAATTCTTTCTTTCTAAGTTATTTATACTCAAATAAGGCTCGTGGTAATTGCAGTGAGAACAACTGTAGAGGAAGAAACCCCTGCTCAAGCAGAGGCTCGTGCCAATGCTAGCTTGAAAATCAAGATGGAGAGATTCTCAAAAATTTGGGATTCAGTGAAAGAAATATTTGGTTAAAACTAGTTATATATGCGTGTTAGTGATTGTGACTAGCATATATAAAGTTTTTACTTCCTTCGACTGGTTGGAAGATTTTTTTTTCTTTTATTTTTAAGAATTCAATTTATAAAGAGGCGGCACCTGCCTCTAGAAATTTAGACACAACAAGTTCGAATGAACAATTATTAGCAAAACCATCTTGTATAAACAAAGATTATCCAAATAAAAGTGCACATTAGTGTTAGACTAGTCACAAATACTAAATCAGGGAATAAATTTGAAAAACTTGTATCCATAATAAAAATAATAAAGATTCAAATGAGTTTTAAACAATTTAGTTTTCATTGATTGATAGATTTACGTTGAATTTTAATCGAATGGTAAATCTAGAAGTTCATATTAAAAAAGGTATAAAACTTATGCCAAACCGTGAGTAATTTACATTGAGTATGGTATTTATAAAACTAAAAGAACATATTAATTTGCATGGAAAAAAACCATCAAATAGAAGGAAAGTTTGTAAATAAAGCATATTGAGAAAGAGAGAAACTATAAACAATAAATTTATAGATGTAAACTGCAAAAAGATTAGTTTATAAAAAAATGAGATAATTTGTATTTAAATTGTGTATCATGATGGGTTAAATAATTACCATGTGTTATAAAAGAAACAAAAACTATAGGAAAATTGAAGAGAAAGATGATAAGAAAATGAATTTACTATAAAATAAAGTGAATACAAGTGATAAGAACTTTAAATTATTCTCTTAATCTCTCAAAAAACTTATCCACAAACTAATGAAAAATTAAGTTTATTTATAGGCTTCAAAATTGTGAAGAGAATTGGAAGGGGCTATGAATAATTAAAAGTATATAAATTGTTGAATTAATTGTATCATTCTTTCAATTTCACATTAAATGATGAATTAAATTACTTTAAGAATTAAGTAGTGGAGCTATGAAAAATATATGAATATTCATATGGACATTCATTATTTCATAACACTCCCTCTTAAATGCCTATTGTACAAGGAATATGCATCGTTAAAACCTTACTAGGAAAAAATCTAGTGCAAAAAAAAAAAAAAATTTAGTGAAGGAAAAAAAGTATAATGTTTTGTGTACATATTAATCCCCATATTGATCTCCTCCTGTTGAAAACATTATTTAAGATATCTACGATGACGCATTCCAATCTTGTGAATCATCTTATCAAAGATTGTGGTAGGTAATGTCTTAGTGAACAAATCTACTGGATTGTCACTTGATCGAATTCGTTGAACATTAATATCACCATTTTGTTAAAGATCATGTGTAAAAAATAATTTTGGTGATATATATTTTGTTTTGTCACCTTTAATGTATCCTTCTTTTAATTGAGCTATGCAAGTAGTATTATCTTCATACAATATTATTAAAACTTCCTTGCTAGTGAATAAACCGCATGTCTCTAAAAATTGATGGGTCATTGATCTTAACTAAATACATTTTCAACTTGCCTCATAAATTGCTAGTATTTACGCATGGTTTGAAGATGTGATAACTATAGTTTGCTTCATAGAACGTCATGATATAGTTGTATCTCCATATGTAAATACATAAATAGTTTATGATCAAACTTTATCCGGATTAGATAAATAATCTGCATTTGTATAATCAATTAATCATGTCTTTAATTTATTAGAGCAATATAAACTCATAGTAATCGTTCCTTAGAGATAATCTAGTAAATGTTTAATTTTATTTCGGTGTCTTTGTGTTGGAGCAAAACTATATCTTGCTAATAAATTTATAAAAAAATGTTATATCGAGTCGAGTATTATTAGCAAGATACATTAATGTACCGATTGCACTAAGGTATGGTACTTCAAAATCAAGAAGTTCTTTGTTATCTTTTCGATGCCAAAAAGAATCATTTGGGATATTAAGTGAACGGACTATCATTGGACTAATCAATAGATGAGCATTATCCATATAGAATCATTGTAGTACTTTTTCTATATATGTTGATCGATGAATAAAAAATTTATCTTCTAAGAGTTCGAACTACGAGCCGAGATAAATTTTTTTTTCCAAGATCTTTCATATCAAATTCTCCTTTTAAAAAACTCATGACACTTAAAAATTTCTTCAGGAGTTTCAATTATATTTAAATAATCAATATATACAACAATTATCATAAACGTCATTTCGAATTTCTTTATAAAGACCAATGAACAAATTAGGTCATTTTTATAACCTTTTTTTAACCAATAATCACTAAGATAATTATATCACATGCATTTAGATTGTTTCAATTCATATAGAGAACTTTGTAATTTAATTGAATACATCTCTCGATAATGTATTTTACACGCTTCAAGCATTTTAAGTCCTTTTGGGACTTCCATATATACATCATCATTAAGTGAACCATATAAATAGGTTGTGATCGCATCCTTTAAATGCATATAAAGTTTTTTTTATGTGTTGTCAAGCTAATAAGATAATGGAATGTAATTGCATCCATTACAAGAGAATATGTCTCCTCATAGTCAATGTCAAGTCTTTGTGAAAACCCTTGTAATACAAGCCTTGCTTTGTATCTCATAATTTCATCTCTTTCATTTTTTTTTTTTGCACAACTATCTATTTGTATCCTACTGGTTTAACATCTTCAAGTGTTTTAGCTATGAGTCCAAAAGCTGCTCGTTTCGTGAGAGACTTTGATTCTTCCTAGATTGCATCTTTCCACTTAGGTCAATCATCTTTATGCTGACATTCTTTAATAGATTTAGGCTTAGGATTCTTGTTCAAAATATCATTTGCAACATCATATGCAAAAATATTATCAACGAGTATTTTTTTCGATCCTATTTTCTCTCCGTATTAACATAATTTATTAAAATTTCTTGATTTTTCTTAAGCATTTGAGCTTCTTCTAGAAGTTTTTTTTATCGAAAGTATTTTGAACCATTTTATCTACCTCCTTTATATTTTCATCTTCACTATTTTTTCTTTCTTTCTTTTGAGGATTTTTATCTTTAGAGTCGATCGGTTTTCTACGCTTTAGGCATGCTTTAGATTCATTTGTTATAACATTAATCGGTTGTCATAATATGAGTATTCTTAGTAGGAACATGTGATTTAATTAATCTCTTTGGATTAGAGAATGCATCAAGCAATTTATTTTTGTAAGACGTTATAAATGAATTACCTTCGACCTTCAAGTTCACATTGTTTGGCACGGGGATTAATATGATATAAAGATAAAATATTTCATGTAATTTTTTTTGAATACTCTTAACTACTTGTTTTATTTATTCTCTCTCCTAATGTTGAAAAAAATGTTTCATCAAAATGATAGTTGGTAAATCAAGTCTGTGAAGACATCCCTTATTAACGGTTTAAGATATTTAATTATAGAAGGAGATTCATATCCAACATGTATTCTCAATCTCCTCCGAGTACCTATTTTAGTTCATTGTGAAGGAGTAATTGGGACATATACTGCATATTTAAGAATCTTTAAATGAGAAATATTAGGCTTATACTAGAAACCAATTGAAGGGGAGATAATTTATAATAACTTGTGAGCTCGATTTGTATGTAAAATTGCATGTCTCCAAACAAAAACAAGGACTTTTGTTTTTATAATTAATGGTCTAGCTATCAATTGGAGGCTTTGGATAAATAATTCTACTAAACCATTTTGAGTATGAATATAAACAACAAGTTCGTTTAACCTCTATCTAATAGACATGCAATAATCATTAAATGCTTAAGAGGTAAATTCACCATTAAATGCTTAAGAGATAAATTCACTAGCATTGTCAAGACAAATTATTTTAATGGTATGATCTTAAAATTGTGCTCGTAATCAAATTATTTTAGCAAGTAACCTAAAAAATGCTAGGTTTCGAGTTGATAATAATCATATATGTGACTATATTGTAGATGCATCTATTAAAATCATAAAATATCTAAATGATTTACGTGGTGGATAAATTAATCCACATATATTACCTTAAATATGTTCTAAAAAAGCTAGAGAGTTAATCCTAATTTTATTTGGTGATGACTTAATAATAAGTTTGCCTTGAGAACATGTAGAACATGAAAACTCATTAGATTAAAGAATCTTCTAGTTCTTTAATGGATGTCCATATGAATTTTCAATAATTTTTTGCATCATAATAAATGTAGGATGGCCTAACCGATCGAGGCCATAGAATAAAAAAATTAGTAAATTTACGGTTTACTATGACATTTGTTTCAATCATTTGAATATTTATGTAATAAATGCTAGAAGAGAAAGCGGATAATTTCTCCAATACATATTTTCTACCCGATGTAATTTTTATAATATATAAGTATTCAATATTCTTAATATTTATTGTCTCAATATGATATTCATTTAGACGGATATCTTTAAAACTCAACATATTTCTATGAGACTTAAAAGAGAATAATACATCATTTATAATCAAATTTATCCCTCCAGGTAATAATATATTTGCTCTTTCAAAACCTTCAATTAAATTGACACTACTAGATATAGTGTTAACATTAGCCTTTTCCATCATTAAATTGGAGAAATACTTTTTATTTTTTAGTATAGTATGTATTGTTGCACTATCCACGAGGCATATATTTTCCTCTATAATGTTTAAACTAATTACAAACCCGATAGTATCCATATATTCTTTACAAACACAAAACAAATAAATAAAAATTATAGCTATCATGATGCAATAGAAATTATAAGAAAAACATTATTCTTTATTTATCAATAGAAAAGGTAACAAAATCTCAATGATTATCATTAGTCTAATGATCTTTTCTTTTAGAATCTTAAAAAAAAAAATCAACACCATCTCAATGTGTCAAATTACTAAAACCTTCAAAAGGAATATTGTCACAATTATGATTTTGATATATAAAATTTGCTTATATATCACTTTCTTTCTTTTTCAACGAGGTTTGATAAAGCTCAACTAGATGCTTTGGTGTACGATAGGTATGCGACTAATGTCCCT